TCTATGAAAAGAATTTGACATCTAGCCTTTTATTTTCATTTTTTAGTTCCAAGGCAATTCATGAATATATTCATCAAATATTTCATTTGCATGTAAAGCTCTGAGTTAGCCACCAGGGATATACAAAGATGAATAAAAATGTTTCTGTCCCAAAGTAGAGACATAAATGTGTGTGCACGTGTTCATGCACACACACACACCCCCACATGCACACACTCACAATAAAAAGTATGTGATAAGTAGAAAAATACTTATGCAGATAAAGAGAATATTATGAAGTTAAGAATAACCTAAAAAATATCACTCATTTTTAGTAGAAGTAAAATTAGATAATTAGTCGGAAAAAACAGAAAAGGTGCTTTATTTCTTTCTATTTCAACAAGATAACTACTAGACCAAACCTGTTTGTTAAACTGTGAAACAACAGTTTAATAAACAAGCTGCGCTTTCATGATTTTATTTTATTATGTAATTTTATTCATGGAACCTGTCTTTTTACTGATTCTAACATTTCCCATTGAAGTGATGACAAAAATCTGTGATGATCGGATAGTGCTAAAGCATGGGCTGATTGTATTTCTGTTAAACTCCTATGACTCGATTGCCTTTGTAACTAAAGCTTTTTCTCTCAACCAGATAATGTCTTCCATGCATTTAGCTTTCAAGTGAATGAATGAATGAATGAGGATAAGTTACAGGGTTTTTTGCAGTAACTATATTGATACATCATCTCCTTTGAAATAACCGTCAGAGGATTTACGTGTATGATGTATGTTAATATAAAAAGCGGAGAGTAATTTAAAACACTATGTCTATCTAAACATAGAAATGAAGGGGCCATGTCAAAGCCAAAATTGTCCTTGGAACATATGATTCTTAATGATGAATAGTGATGAATTATTTCCCCACGGAAAATTTGTCTACAGCAATCAAGTAATTATTATAGATTCAACTCAGGAACTATTTTGAGCCTTTTATGATAATATGTTTGTGTGGCCTTTGTAGTTTAAAAAATGCATTCACCGCTTTTTCCTCATTTGAGCACACAGCAACTCTCTGAAAGATGTTAATTTTGTGCTCATCTCTTAGAGAAGAAAATTACAGTTAATAGGACTGGTAATTAGCAGCAGTGTGGATCTCAGATCCTAAATCCTCTCTAAAACCTTACATTCTCTCTTCTGTTTACAAGGCGTTCAGTGAGAGGTACAGAGCACATCAAAACGTTTCTTGATAACTGACTTATTGCATTTTTCACTTTACAAAAGACTGACATCTATATTATTCCCTTTGAATGTGACAACGACCTTTGTGTTGATAGCTCAAGTTTCAAGGAAAGTTAAACACTAATGAGAAAAGAATAAGACAACAATAGAACTAACTATAAGATGGCATTTGATCTGGGCTTTGCTTGATCAAAGGAGGTGGGATCACGTTCAGCCAGGAAGATAAGGAAAGACAGCTTGGATTCCAAAGATAACTGAAACAAATTGATCCTCCCTGCCAAATGAGGACTGCACATCTCTAAGGTCTGGTCCTCCATGGATGGGTTCTCTGAAAATCCACTATGCTTCTTTGGCCAGAAATTTTCTACAGGGAAAAAAAAAAGAATGTTACTTTCAACATCAAAAAGTGATGGTTCTCAGAGAGCAAATATTTCTGAAACTATTAGAGAAAGAAATGGATATGCCAGACCAAGTGAATTTCCAATATAATATCAATTTTAAGCAAAAGTCCATTTATGTGTTATAACAAAAGAATAAACACAATGACTTAACATTGAGAAAGTTTGTCTTTAGGAAAAGTAAGTTTGGGGACATTTTTCACGGTATAGAATGGTAATTGTCCAATCCCCAAACTGCATTCCTCTCTCTATCTTGAAATCCCCACACCTGGTCTTGAGAGCCAGGGCATTTGAACAAGCAGCCTGATGACCTAGAGCGGCTAGAAGCGAGAGCGTCGGCTGATGAGTACAAAAACCACCCTGAGGAGAAAGAGCGGACGGAGAGTTAAAACCAGAGTAGCCACATCCACTGTGCGGTCCCAAGGATCAGCGGTAGTAGAGGGATAGGGTGAAGCAGGAGAAGGGATCAACGTCAGGGGAGTCAAAACTTTTCAGTGCTCAAACTAGTGTGCCCATCACGGCTTTTTCTCGGTGGGTGCTGGTCAGAGGCCTGAGGTTGGTCGGCCTCGGCTAAACGTCTAGGGTTGTAGAGGGCAGTGATATATGCAAGAAAGATGAGACGAATAAAAGCTAGCAACTTTTCTTGTTTGTTTGGGGTTTTTCGTTTGGTTGGTTTTCTTCTTGATATATATTTGACATATAAAATTGTATATGATTAAGGTGTACAAGGTGTTAATTTGATACATTATACAGTGTAATATGATTGCCCTTGAAGCATTAGTTAGCTATCACATTACTTAATTGTCCTTTCTTTTTAGTGGCTGGAATAATTAAGTTCTAGTCTCTTAGCTAGTTTGATGATTATAGTACAACCTTGTTTTCTGTATTCACTATACTGTGCATTAGATCTCTGGGGCTTATTTACTACTCATTGCAAGTTTGTACCCCTTAAAAAGCATCTTTCTTATCCAGCGCCCATCGTCTGCTGACCACTATTTTACTCTCTGCTTTTACAAGTTTGACTTTTTTAGATTCCACATATAAGTGATATCATCTGGCACTTGGCTTTCTCTGTCTGACTTAATGTGCTCAGGATCAGTAACAGTTAAGTTCAGAGCATCTTTGGTTTGTATTTCTTGCCTAATTTGCCTTCCTTTTAGTCTACATACTTGGGTCATCGTCTCTAGATTAAACCCTTTTTTTTTTTTTTTTAACTTGCTACTTCCTTCCTTAATTTGGATAATTTTCTAGATTTAGAGAAATCTTGACTAAGTTTTATGATAATCACTTTATAGTCTTCCTAGGACATTCTATGCTAAAAGTTATGTAGACATCAGAGAAAAGGGGAGAATTTATGCTACTTGCTTCCTTCATACTCTTATATATGCATATGAAGATAAGAAGTATAGCTTTAAAAGCAGAATTTACATCATCACTATGTTAGTTATGTTGTTATATGGAGAAAACTGAAGCTAATAAGTTGATAGAAAAACATCAAGGAATGTGTAGTCTGTGTCTATATATATGAACTAAATGTGAAGAAAGAGAGCCTAGGTTTTGTCATTTTAAGATGCCCATAGGAATTATTTTTAGTCTTGGTTGGATCTACCAGCTCTTCTCCTCCTCCGAGACAGAGCCTCAGCCCCCAAGTTTGCTCGTTGTTGTTCCCTGATCTTACTAGGCCCCTTGTTCCATGTCATTGTTATTTTCCATATTCACGATGCGGAGCATACTATCTCCTTTTTGTATTAAGAATATGCATGTATGTAGTCCTTCATAGTTTGCAAAGCATTTCCCAAATATGAGCTCTGTTAATCCTCACAGCAAACCCCAGAGGTAGGTGTTATTATGAAAGCTCTCATGTGGATGAGGAGAGGTTGACTAAATACCTCTAAATGACCAAGTAGACAAAATTTAGATTCAACCCCAGTGCATGTAATTCCACCAGGAAGTAACTAAGCTGGAACTGGAATCTTGTCCTCTGACAGCAGAGTCAAGGTACAGCCCTGTCTTATTTTCAATTCTTAAGCTTTATTATTTGGAGAATTAAAATGTAAGGACATTTATTTATATGTGACTATGATTGCAATTTTTAAAAGTTTATAGGAGAAGATATCTGCTTATTTATACATCATTTTTTATCAGTTTATTGTTTACAAATTAGTTATGTTTGAAAAGATTTGTACTGAGTCAAAATGTATGTATCAATGCTTATTTTCCTTTTAACACAAGTTATGAAAAAGATTAGAAGTGAAAACCCCAAAATCTTGGCTCTATAAGCTATCTTTATTGCCATGAAATATAAATAAATAAGCTCAAAATGTAGCATCTTTTAAAACTCAAATCAAATAAAAGGATAATCACCTGATAAAACGGCAATAATCAAGATGAGTGAAAACCACCCAGCTTTAGAGATAATCATGTACACATGGGGATGAGTTAAAGCAGGAGGTGCATAAGATGGTCTTGTTTATTCAGTACTCAATGCTTCTTGCTATTTTCGCAGGGGATGAAAACCAACCACTAGGGAAAATAATTACTACGTTGTCAGCATAATTCCCGTTTGGGTGAATTTCCGTAAATGCATACACCTTGGTAATTAGAGGGAATTCTATTAATGTAGAATGTGGCTTCATTTTTGAGCACTTATTATTTGCAAATCGCTATAATAAACACTTTGGTTTACTACTCCACACCCTGAAAGTTAAGAGGTAGTTTCCTAGTTGTAGGGATGCGCAGCATCACAAAGCCAGTAAATGATGAAGCTCGGCATTGAACCCAGGCTACCTAGCACCAGAATTTTGTCCTTAACGGTTGCAGTTAACCATATCTGCCAATAAAATTTAGACTCCAAAATTTCAAAGGATTGTTCACATAGACATATCGTCTGAAAGACAATGTATCTGCTTTTTACTTCTTTTCTCAGTGAGTTTTTGTCTTTTTCACTTAGGTTTGAACTTGTCAATGAGCTTCCTTCATCCTCCTCCCCTGAGTGCACAAGTTGTATATTTTATCTGATTTTTGCCCTTTGTCTTTGCTGTATTTTCTCCTCAGAGAGAACGTCCTTATTAGAAAGGACTATATTTAGTCAGAAAGATCAATATGTTAGTGTAAATCTTTTTTATACACTCGTACCATCCGAATTCCCTCATTTTTGCTAATTCCATTAAGAAATAAATATGCTTGCATGTAAATGCACATAGATCTATGTACATAATTGACAGACTCAATAGATTCGACTGAAACATAATATTACCTTATCTTTCCCATACCGTTAATAGTACATAGAGTTGACTCTTTCATAGACTGTTTTTTCATGGTTTATCCAAATGGCTCATGAGCAACCCAAGGTAGTAGTCATTTGCTTTTTCCCCCCCAGAAGCTCAGAAGAAGCAATTGGAAGAGAGTATAGAGCTGATCCAAGATGAATGTGTGTCAGAGAATGCAGATCACTCTACCGAGGAGCCTGCTGAAGGAGGGCAAGATGCGGATGGAGAAGAGATGACTGATGGGATAGAGGAGGACTTCGATGAAGATGGGGGTCATGAGCTGGTAGGAACTAAACATTTGGTGTCCACACCCTTTGGTAACAGCACCAGCATGTCAGCAACTCATTCATTCTAAAATAAAGATTAAATTTTTGGAGCTTATTTCTTTCTTTTATGTATATATTTAAGGTAACATGAGTGCAGTGCTTTGCATATAATAAGTGCTCGATTTTTGCTAGCTTAAAATGTGAGGGAGTAAATGAGTGGACAACAGGAATATTATATATGAGATTAGTTACATTTAAAGTTCCGAATGAAAGGTTCTCTTTCCCAAATGCTCCGTCATGAAAGGGATCTTGCATTTCTGCAATTACACGTGACTTGTACATGGATATAATATCCTGGTAACAAATGGCCATTTACTGGAAAACGCTTGGTTCCCCCTCTTATTTAATAATGTCATTCACTGCTGATAAATGTCTCTACTAGTTGTATGGCCATCAGTCCTTTCTACAGTCTTCTCACTAAAGTGACCCTTTGATGTATGGCCAGTTCACCATCTTCAGTGCCTGTGCTACTCGATAACCGGTTATTATGAGTTGGGAATTTAGCTGAGACTTGATTCTTTCCGTGTTTTATTTCCCAATATTGTAATCATTATACTGCTCATTTCCATATGTCCTTTCTTTCATAACCACACCAGGGACCTGGTAAATATATACTGATGAGGATGCTATTTCTCATATTTTATCAACCATGAAATTAAATATACTATCTTAAAGGGATTGACTAATAAAAATGATGAAAGGGCATGTGTGTGTGTGTTTTGGCAACTCTCAAATAGCTGTGGACGGATCACATTAAACCTGACTTATCCCAGGTAACAGCAGACTCCAATTTGTTATAATACCTACTGTCACTTCACTAATTTTGTCATGTGGTAGTGTTTTTGGTGTGGTAACAACCGCATTAGTAGTTTCATTTACAGAACTTGGTCTTGATGTTAAAAAGCCAGCTCTGTTGATAGTGCGTGGCACCTGCATTTAAACTTTCAAATACAAGCCTTTATTACCCGCCTTATTTCTACAAAAGCCTGCATCAGTTTGAAGGACTTAAATGCCTGTTTTTAGAGTTGTTTTGACTTCAGGAATCTTGAACGGGGACTAGAAGGAAGGAATAACAAGTTTCTGAGCTTCTCCATCGGCAGGACTTTAACTCAACCACATGATTTCCTCAGCTCATTCTAGTCAGACTTTTATTGTCACCATTCCATTGAGACTGCCCTTGTCGAGGTCTCAGGGGGCCTCCATGTTGCCATGTCCAATGGTTACCTCTCTGTTCTTATTTTAATTTACTTCTCAGCAGAATTTGGCTGAGAATTGGTTAGCAGAATTCTGAGGAATTCTCCTAACTTTCCAATTGCTTATTCTCAGTTTCCTGTGCTGGAAACTTTCCCTCCATACTCCCCCTTTAAATATTAGAGTAGCCCAGGGCTTTGTCATAGGCCGCCTTCTCTTCCTACACACTTTTCCAAGGTGACTTCATGAAATACCAGAGCTTTAAATATTATCTACAGGCCAAAGACTTCTAAATCTATATTTCTCTTTCTGATCTCTTCCTAGAATTACAGACTTGAGTATTCAGCTGCCTATGTCCTCACAGATCTCCAATGAACAGCCGATACTTGACATGCCAGAAACACTCTTGATTTTTTTTTCCAGCCGTCTTATTCCTTCCCAGTCCCCCTCATTCTGATAAATAGCATCACCATCCACACAGTTGGGAAATCCAAAAAGACTAGGATTAACTTTGATTCTCTCAACCCTTCCTCATTAATTCCACCTCCGAACCATGGCCCAAAACTAGCTACATCTCCACTACTGCTAAACTGATTTTCTTGCTTCAGCCCATGCAATCCACTCTCCACATAAAAAGGATAAAAATTTTTATGAATTAAATTATAAAAATTTATAAATTTTTATAAATTAATCAGATAATGCTCCTCGCTTGCTTAAAACGCTACAATGCTTTTTATCACACTTAGAATCAAAATCCCCAAGTGTGTAAATGTAAACTGTGATGAGGTTGGGTGAAGATGCCAGTGGAGAGAACTTAGTGAAGAGAAAGGGTGGAAGTCCCTGATGCTGAAGGAATCAGAGCACAGGTGTGAGGGCTGGCCTGCAGCCTGAGGAGGAACACTCTTCCACGGCCGCTGACTGCAGTAAGGCTGAGGACGTGGTGGCAAGCATCTGGGGGAGTTCAAGCACAAACTGTAAGTCAGGATAATAACCTCTGCAAAGTGAGGAAAGATGAACAGGATCACAGAGGAGAATGGAGATGACTGGAAGATGCTAGTATGGAAAACATAGAAGATCACTAATTTGGAAAACATATCAAGATTGACAGTTCATGTTAATAGCTAGTTGAGGTTAGAGACCAAGAATTAATAAAGTAGTATTTTGCAAAATTTGAAGTGTACCAGAATTACCTGGAGAACGTATTAAAACAGATTGTTATGTCCCATTCTGAGAGTTTCTGATTCAGTGTCATGAGTGGGATCTAGGAATTTGCATTTCTAACAAATTCTCAGGTCATGCTGATGCTGCTGGTCTGGGGACCACACTTTTGAGAACCAGTCTATGGATCCATCAGTCAGCTCAGCTCTGGGATTTTCTCCATTGGCTTTTCTCAGCCCTAATGGAAGCATGGAGAAATCTAACAGGTTCAGAGTTGGATTTTTGTCAGAAAAGCAGAGAAAAGCAATAAATAAAGGGAGTTGAGGACATTAGTGAAAAGACTGGCTGACTAGATGGATCATGGAATTAAACTTAATCAGGGAAGGAAGGGAGCAAAGGAGGGCGCGGAGAAGGGAAAAATAGAAACACAAAGGGAGTAAAAGTTCCTATGCTGTTAAGGACCAGAAGCAGAGAAATGAAATGAATGGGAAAAAGTTGAGGCTTGTACTTAGAGATTGAGCTATTTCAGAGGTGTGACCATTAGATGATGAGAAGACCCACTGGAGGGGGTGATGGAAGAAGGAACAGAGCAAAAGTCACTGCATATGAAGAATTCAAGGAACCGAGATGCTCACATGCAAGATGGGTCATCTTCATGGGCATGAAATCACTCCAAGTATCAGATAGGAAGAGAAAGAGTAAGAAAGTTACAGTTAAGCCTCCATGAAAGAGAGAACATGGCCAGTTTTAGTCCCAGCTCCGTCACTATCCAATCCAATCAAATCACCTGAAACAAGTAACTTCTCTGAGTCTCAACTTTCTTATCTGCAAAAAGTTTATAAAATCCATTCTTTTGATATTCTCTCTGAGTGAATCTGTGTTCCAGGAACACAATAGCTACAGGAGCAAGGGCTGATCCTGAAGCCAAGGGGATAAATCCAAACCGTGGTGTTTATGTTCTAAACACACAGAAAGTAACTGATTAGAACTGTTGCTGCTTAGAGGGGCTCAGATTTTTTCCCTCAATCCTTGCATAATAATTGGGGGCTTAGGGAGCTAAAGAATTAAATCCTCTGTCTATCTCATTTTGTCTCTACAAATTAGAAAACAATGAATGAGAGATGAATTTAATACTGAGTCCTCGAAATCTAAATGGAGACTGAAGAGTCTGTCTTAGTGACTGGCCTACAGAAAATTCCCTTGTCTGGTGTCCACTGTCTTCTCCTTTCTGGACCACATGAACCAAATCATCCTTGGTTCCTACAAAGTAAAGTAAAAGCATAAATCCTCTCTTTTTGTCATAATTAAAGATTACAGATTCAGCAAGGATACAATCTAGTTAGGTTTTTAGTACATCCAGTTAGAGTCAAAAAGAAGAGCTGGTATCCGTATGCCCAGTTGACTGCTCAAAGAAAATCTGGAATGCCATTCCAAAACAATGAATGGGAAACAAGAATTAGATCTGAAGCAGGTGAAAACCAGCAAAACGAGCTGGTGGGCCAGCTGTAAATGGTGGAACCCTTTGTGGATCATGTAAGAAGCTAAAGGCATGAGCACAGACTGTCCATATGTCATCTAGTTCTAATATCCAGTTAGTGAAATTGATTTCCATGAAGCAATTCGTTCAACTAGCATTTGAGTGCCTATTATGTGTGACCAGGTGCTACCAAAAAATGCAAAGATAGTTAAAACTATTGCTTTTATGTGAAATGAAATATTTAGATTAACTGTTCCTTTTCTCAAGTAGCTTAGTGTCTTTTAGATAGAAGACTGTTTTCTTCATGTAAAAAATAACAGACTTGGACTTGATCATTTATAAGAAGCCAGACAAGGATAAAATCTATGATTCTACATTAACCTATGCCTGAATGTTTCATTAGTGTGTAGAAATTCATATTTGAATTTATTTAAAAGTGAACTCTATATTGATGCAGTATGCATACACTGTTAAACCACTGCCATACTCCTCTTTCTAAATAAAACAATTAGCAAATATTTGTTGGTTGACCACTAATGAATGGCACTGAGATTTTTGCTGTGAGAATAACGAAGGAAAATCATATTTCTTCACTCAAGAAGGCTGTATGTTAACTGAGGATAAAGACTACAGACAAAAAATACAAAGCAGTATGTTATAGTAAGAACCACATGAAAGATACAGTCGATAAGTGATAGCTGGGATGGTCAACAAGGCTCCTGGTGAAGTGGGGTTAGAACTTTACCTCAAAGGATCCCAAAGTAAGAAGCAGCATGTGCTAAAGTCCAGGAAGGGAGATTCAACTCATCCTTCATTGTTCTCAGATCATTTTATGGAAAATACATTTAATATCCAAAATGTATTAGATATTTCATATGATAGGTAGATAGGTAGGTAGGTGGGTTGTTGGCTGGGTGGACGGATGGAAGATAGGTAGACAGAGAGAGAGAGAGAGAAAGACAGGTAAGTAGATAGATGGATAGATAGGTTTTTTGATAAAACTGCTAGAAACTCCAAAAATAAGACACTTACCTTTCGAGCTCTTTTCTTCTCTTGTTTCATATCCACCAAAGTTGTAATCTAACATTAATCTATGTTAATATATAAAATAACATAATCAAAATAAAAGTAGTCTGTGCCGTAATGGAAATAGTTTATGAAAGTAAGTGCTTAGCACCCTGCTAACTGAAAAGGGCAAATGAACTCTCACAGACGTATGTGAGAAGACA